ATGAGTGCAGGGCGTGATAATGACTCTGATCGGCATTTTCTGGTACACCCATCTGAAGCTCCAAGCAGCCTCCGAGCCCAAACAGAGCAAATCGCCCCACCAACAGAACAAACTTGTCAACAAGGACGGCGCCCACAAGGAGGAGCGTGAGCTAACGGAAAGGGACCACAGCAACGTCTCGACCGAGGCGGGCTCCCCTTTGGCCAACGACGAGGAGCTGGGGGGCTCCAGCGACGAAGACACACAGATGCTGATCGCACACCACAGGGGGGAGGGGGGCATCAGCCCACACGGCGGCCCGGGGAGGGAGAAATGAATAACCTGCCTTCGGTTGACCGAGCGATGGACACTAGGAAGGTGCTGGCTGGCTGGTTGGCTGGTTGATGAGACAGGGGAGGGGGGGAGGGGGGGAGGGAGGGAAGGGTGTTTGCTGTGTATATACATGACATGCACATGGATATCTAACGACTGACTGACTGACTGACTGTGTATACGTACGGATGCCTGTTGGCTGCAATGCAATTGGGGGCGGCGTGACGGACGGACGGATGGATGGATGGATGGCCGGAGCGACCAATTCAATCGGGATGGAGGGAGGGTGGTCTATGTAGCTATCCAGTGACCGCACTGGCAGACAGACAGACAGGGTGGGGAAAGTGATCCGTGAGTACTATGTATGTATGTATGTATGTATTGATAAGTCGGCAGGCATTGCGCTGAATGGGCCGCATTAATTGCCGCGTTTTTCTGTTGTCGATCGACACAAACAAACAAACTTGGATACCTACCTACTTGTACTTGTCCGTCCATGTAGCTAGGCGATCTGCTCACTCACTGGCTCCTTCCTTGTCTGTCTGTCTATGCTCTGCTGCGCTGTGTATCTCTCTATCTACTTCTGCCCGTCCTCCCAGGCTGCTGGCAGCTATGTGGGTGTGCGGATACACTCACTGGCGGCTGCAAGTTAGCTAGCTACAGAGTCTGTGAGAGTGTGTGTGTGGGCAGTGCACTGGTGGGAGGGAGGGAGGCGTGTGTATCTTTCCACCTGCAAAGCCATCCAGCTCCTTTCCTGCCTGCCTGCCTGCCTGCCTGCCTGTCTGCCTAACCTGACGTGGGGGGGAAGTTTGTACTCGTGTGTGGGTGTGAGTACGGATCGGACCTGCCGACTCTATCTATCATGTGGATGCCTTCATTCCACATGAACGTTCGTTCGTATGCGTGCGCCTACGTGTCTGCCGTGTGCTCCTGCACACGCGCACTCACGAAATTCGCAAACCCTACGCATAATTAGGGTTTGGGGTGTAGGGTTTGCGAGCTCAGATGCGCAGGGAAACATACACGCGCCAAACCCATAGATCAGCAGCAGAGAGGGGCACAGGAAGGCCGCACACACAGCCAGGAGCAGCCAGAAGGTCACATCTCTGCTGCTGACTGGCCTTTGTGTCTGTCTATGTCAGGAGATGGCCGCATTGCGCCAAGACGGCTGACTCCGTCCTGGTGACCCACAACAAACTTACCATCGACTTCATTACGAAAAGGTCAGTATTCGTTAACACACGGCCTCCTGACACCATCTGCTTCGTTTGCTTGAGACGTAATTGTGTGTGGCTGACCAGATGGCCGCCCAGTGCGTGCGCTTGGTGGATGCATCGCAGGCTCATTTGGTGCCAGAGGATTGCATTGCCCTTGATGAGAGGATTGCTGTCTGTGTGCCGATTGGATTGCCCTCGCACAGCGGAACTTCTCTCTGAGCCTGTAGGGCCACCCTTGTCGGCCACCTGCAGGCCTGCAGAGACCTGATAGACAAGATCCAAGACCTTTCTGGGCTTGGTTCGCACACACTACTGACCAATATACCATCGAGAAATTTTCACCTCCTCACTTGACCCCGTCAGCCGCCCACACACACACTGGTTCCCAGACCCACTGGCACCCTCTCTCTCTCCCTGTGTGTATGTGTGTGTGGTTGGCTGGTGCGTGCTGGTGCGTGGCGTGCCCCCATGTAGGAGTCTCTGCAGTGCAC